GCTTAGTTCGTGCATAGTAGGCGCTCAGGATACATTTCATTTGCTGTATTGATGTGAGTGCACAGAATGCTTTCACTGAGTTTGCTTATATGGATGAAGGGTCAACAGAAATGGGGATTAGGCCTGGCTCACAGATAGGTGGGGTTGCGGTGGGCCACGGTGGGCATCTGAGGAGCAGAACACAGGAGCAAGGTCCCTGAGGTGGGTGGAGGGGCGGGGTTTCATCCGCTGATAGTGCTTGTCCCACTGCTGTGATGCTCTTTCCGTGCCAAGGAGCACACACGCTGACTGTGTCCAGCTCCGGGCTGACTAATTACCCCAGTGGGCTCTCAGGTCCTGGGGTGGGAACCAAGAATCACCTGAGGGTTTGGCCAGTAGCATGGGGGCCCCAGTCTCCACCCCAGGGGCATAGAGTGGGGTGGTCTGACAAGGGCCTCCTTCCCGGGTGAGCAGGAGATCGGGAGGATCTCCATCGAGATGCACGGGACCCTGGAGGACCAGCTCAGCCACCTGCGGCAGTACGAGAAGAGCATCATCAACTACAAGCCCAAGATCGACCAGCTGGAGGGCGACCACCAGCTCATCCAGGAGGCGCTCATCTTCGACAACAAGCACACCAACTACACCATGGAGGTGGGTGTCTGGGCCCTGTTGCTGGGGGGGAAGCCCCGATCCCCTTCCATTCCCCTTCCTGGGCCGGGGCAGGGGGAGGCTGTCATCTTCCCAGGGGTGAGGGGGCACTCGCTTCTCACCCTGGGGAGCTCTGGGTCTTCAGTGCTTCTTTCTGGGTTTCCCAAGGAGCTTGTTGACATGCAGATTTCCAGACTCTGCCTCTGGAATTCACTGGGTCTGGATGGGGCTCAGGAATCTAAATTTTTAACAAGCCCCCCCAGTGATTCTGATGCTGTTCTCCAAACACTGCCTTAGGTACCTGCATTCTGAATGCTTACTTGTTTTGACCATGAAAGCACATGTGTGTAGTTCTGGAGTTGGCTATTCAAAGAATTACCTAATTTTTTAGCCTTTAATCCTTCCCACTACCAAATTTTCCCTCCTTCCTGTCCGACCCACGCTGGCGGTCCTGGCTGGTCTCTGCTGTCCCAGGCAGAAGCCACCACCCTGCCCGCACTTCCCCCTCATCCTGTGGCTCCTCTGTCCTGGAACCTTGTTCCGGTTCCCCTGCCTCTGCTGACACTGAATCGCACGGAAGGCCGGTTCGATTGCTTGGACCATTCGGTGGTCAGGGGAAGGAGTGGCGGGGGCAGCCTGCCCTGACTGGCCCCTTGTCCGCATCCAGCACATACGCGTGGGCTGGGAGCAGCTCCTCACCACCATCGCCAGGACCATCAACGAGGTGGAGAACCAGATCCTGACCCGGGATGCCAAGGGCATCAGCCAGGAGCAGATGAACGAGTTCCGGGCCTCCTTTAACCACTTTGACCGGGTGAGAGCCCCCCCTGCACGTGCTTAGAGCAGCCCCAGCCCCTGCCCCAGGGCCCTGGAGGGCACTGCCCCAGGTGTGGGCAGCCGAGCTGGATCCAGTTCCTGGGCAGGTGAGGAGGAGGAGGAAGGAGGCAGCACCTGCCAGCAGCCTGCCCTACTCCGCATTGCACGATGCCAGCCTTAGAAAGCCAGTCCTCGTGTCCCATGAGCCTCTCTGCTTTTCTGGAGAGACAGCTCAGATCATGGGTGGAGAAAGGACCCTTGACCCCTGACCTTTGCTCTCTTACCCTGCAGCTTCGGCCCTTGAGAGCTAGGCTGCTAGAGCCTCATGGGAAGGCCTTTTGCCTCTGGCTGTAGGGACCTTCCCTTGCCTCTACCTCAGGACAGAGAAGTGGGGGCTCCCTCCTGCCCCACCCACCCCCTGGCACAGAGTTGTCAGTGCTGGGTACCCCTCCCAGTGCCCCGGGGCTTCGGGATGACCACATGGGAGGGGAGGGAGCATGGGGTTAGGTGCTGCCCACCACCCTGCCTGACTGGGTGAAGCCCTCCTGGAAACTGGGGTGGGGCATCGGGCTGGAGGCGGGCTGGGCACTTGTGGGGGCTTCTCACCCCCGTGGCTCATTGTGCTCCCTCCTGGCCTGCTTCCAGCAGGGCTGCGTGTGCTGGGGAGAGGGCACCCTCCGGACCGTGTCCGTGTGTCTAACCATGTGCACTTTTATTTCCCTCCTCCCCCACCCTGTCCACCCTCCACCTTCTCTATCCGCATGCCTTCGTCCCCGTGTCTCCCTCACATGCCACCCTCCCCTGGGGCATGGCCCACCCCTCCCCTCACGGCCTCCACCTCCCTGGCACCGCATGGCTCGCTGCCTGACGCACGGCGGCCCCAGGATCACTCCGGCACGCTGGGTCCCGAGGAGTTCAAAGCCTGCCTCATCAGCTTGGGTTATGATATTGCCAACGACCCCCAGGTACTCGCCTCCTGCATGGAGCACGCTCAGGGGTGGCATCCGGGGCAAGAAATAATGCGTATTTCTCCTTTTTCTCTTCTCTGTCTGTCCGGATCTCCCCGTCTCCCTTCCCTGTGGGCCCTGGGGCTCACCCTCTCCTGCTGTCCTCGCCTGGCCCGCGTCGGGCTCCTCCCACTACTTCGACCTCTGACTCTGCCCTCGGTTCTTTCCTGGGAACCTGCTTGGTGCCCGCCTCCTCTCCTCGCCGTTCTCCATCCTGTGGACGGACCTTTGCTCTCCCTGCTCTGTCTTCCTCCTTCCTGGACATTTTCCCCGGATGTGTTTTACATCTACTCCTCCTTTATTTCCTCTCCCCTTCCTGACCCCGAAACCAAACACCTCGTCCTCCCCTCCGGCCATCTGTGCCCTGTCTTCCTTGTGTCTCGGTGCCACTGTCCCTACAGAAGAAGACAGGCATGATGGACACGGATGATTTCCGAGCCTGCCTGATCTCCATGGGTTACAACATGGTAATGTAAACCCCACCCTCTGTCCCGGCGAGGGGCAGCCAGCTGGCCGCAGAGGCCACGTCCTCGCCGTGGCAGTCTGGATGCCCTCAGGCCAGGGCTGCCCTCCCCAGAGGGGGCTCGAGGCTCTGGTCCTCGGGGAAGAAGCAGCTTGAAGGCAGGGCCCAGCCCCGGGCCTGTGTGTCCTGGAGGTCTGGCTGTCCCACCGTCGGTGCCAGTTTACCTTCTGGTACTCACTGTGGACATAGGCTTTCTCACTCCCACCGTGGACGGCTGGGCCGAACTGAGGCCAGCAGAAGGACTGCTGGTTTGCGCGTTCTGGTACGAGGCATGGAGAGTTCTGCCATTTCCCTGTGATGGCCAGCCGAGCCTGCCGCCGCTCTGCATTGCCCAGGCTCCTCCCCACTCTTCTCAGCTGTCTGCCCTCGTGCAGGCCATCAGAGCAGGGCAGGGGCCTTCGCGGGGCAGCCAGGTGACTCCTGGGCCATGCAAAGTGCAGAGCATTGGGCTGCCCAGCACAGGAGTGAGACCTGGGCTTTTGGAGCAGTGGACCCAGGAGCAAATCCCAGCTCCACCATCACCAGCTTGGGGGCCCGGATGAGGCGAGGGGGACCCTGCAGGGCTGTTGTAAAGGTTACATGAAGGAACTTACAAATCCCAGCTCTGCTCCCTACTGCTGGCTGTGTGACCTTGGGCAAGTCACTAAGCCTCTCTGGGCTGCATGTTTCTCATCTGGAAACCTGATGGAAGTAAACACCTGCCTTATGTGGCTGTGGTGAGGGTTAAATGACCTAAAATATGCACAGCACTTGGAATAGTGCCTGGGATGTAATATAGGGTGTGTGGGTGGAGCTGTTGTTGTCATTGTCATTATTATCAGCATTATCATAGTTGGCTCCAAGGGGAGCCGGGCATGGGTAGGGGTGGGAGCCCTGAGCGGGGTCTTCACTGTTGGGTGTGGTGAAGAGGCTCCTCATGCCCTCGAGACAGCCCAGGTTGTGCCTCCTCTTACAACCACAGGCTCCCCGAGCCCCCGGGCTCCAGGTCCGTGCGGAGTCTCAGCAGGCTGTGTGGCTCAGAGGCTGACAGGCCTGGGGTGGCTCTTCTCTCCAGGGAGAGGCAGAATTTGCCCGAATCATGAGCATTGTGGACCCCAACCGCCTGGGGGTAGTGACATTCCAGGCCTTCATCGACTTCATGTCCCGGGAGACGGCCGACACAGACACAGCAGACCAAGTCATGGCTTCCTTCAAGATCCTGGCGGGCGACAAGGTGCGTTTGCTGGGGGGTGGGTGCCCTGCCGGGGTGGCAGGCCCCGGCTGGGCGCTGACCTGCGGGAAGGTCGTGAGCACCTCCACTGCCCTTCAGGGTCCCGCTCGATCCCACCGTGCGGACGTAGACATGCGTGTGCAGAATGCCCCGTGTATATCCAGGACGGGAGGGGCTGGCGGGGCGCCCCGGTGCAGTGACGCTCTCTCCGCAGAACTACATCACCGTGGACGAGCTGCGCCGGGAG